CGCACGGACCGGTAGGCAAGAAAGCTAGACACTCGGGTTATGCCCCACAGGCATTTGAGCAAAGCATGGCTTAGGATAAGAGGTCGCTACAGTATCATTAAAACATACTCTATATTATACCTAGAGGCATATTCAAGGTGTCCACTTATCTATATGTTAATATCAGGAAGTAAATCACCTGGACAAAAGTTAACAGGTCTTGATCTGACCTATGGTTGAGGCTCTGTTGAAAACTTACTCGGCACATCGAACTACCGTCCACGTACACTGTCCTGAGTAGACACATCCAAAGGATTTTAAGACCAGCTGCTGATCAGAGATGCAGTCAGTTTCATTGTCATGCTGTCGAATTGGACAATGGTGGTCCCAATACTCAACCAGCCAGCTTCTTTGTTTGAATATCTGTTTCTGTTGACACATACTGTTTCTAACTTAGCCCTCTTTTTTCTTTTCTCTCGCACGGTAGCGTCATTTCTGTGTGTTCTCGCTAAGCTTCCCCGCAGCGGAGACATTGCGGACCATGTATTCTTCTATTCTCTCCCAACACCTTGCGGCTTCAGCATTCCCGCCAGCAGTTCAGAAGATGGCCCTTTCCATTACTGACCTCACGCTTGCCTTCCATGCTCGCATTTCCTCGACTTTCCTACCAACGGCAGTCAAATTCCACTACGTCTTCAACCTCCGTGACCTGACCAATATCTTCCAGGTAAGGCACTCCAGGATTAAGGCTGCCTGTGCCATGCTCCTGATTGCTTTATTTTTTTCTAACTTTACCAGCGGGCCAACTCTGTGCAGGCATTTGAATTTGCCAGCAGTACCTCTCAGCTACACGATAGTTCCGTTTAATTGGTTTTTGGAGGTTGTTTCGGCCTACCCTGTACTTGCTCATATATAAATATCACAAAGAATGCCTCCCTCCCCAAATTAAGTCTGATTTGGGCTACCAAAGGCGCACCCCTGATGTGACTCCCGTCTCTCATTCAAAAGGTGAATCCCAAGGACAGATAAAGATTGATGCTGTGATCCCTCCCTGCAGGAAAGAAACCCATCTTTGCCTATTTAAATTCAGTATTTCGTATTCTCACCTACCATTCCACTGTGGTTTGCTTACGACTAACTGACTGAAATTTTGAATCAGTTTTCTGTTAAAGGTTGGAATTGAGGCAGTTTTCATGCGTTTCCAATTGGCAGAAGCCCTATCCTAAATGCTCTCAGGGGTTAACAGATGGTGTGAAAAAAGACTTACAGAGGAATGTCTATCCAGAACTGTTTCGCATATACCCTTGCCTTCATTCAGTCAGTCATAGGCCTACTTACCATTCGAGACCGGAAACACAAAATTGTGCACTCAGAGAGGGCGCAGAGGGTGCACAGGCGTGGTCTAGCAGATGGGACAACAATATTTCAACTAATTGATGTTCAGCAGTACCTCGCCACCTGGCATTCTCTGTCGGTGCAGACCGGGTATTTATGCTTACGAGAAGCGGCGCACATAAATCCACTAGGTTTCCGAAGCGAAGGAGCTCTCCGCAGGTTGGCAGAGGCCCCAAACAAGCCAAGCTGAACTTGTTCCATCCTTGTATGAATAAAAAACCGATTTTCTGTCACAGAGAATAACAGTTAGCGAACCAAGTTCATCCAACACCGATTCGATAAGGGCTTTTCACCCATCTGGCAGATCTCGTCTGGGGACCATCTGCGCTGCATACATCCATGTCCTGGCTAGTGGTCAGCGCCATGACCGGCTGAACAAAGGCAGCATGAGCTCGAAACAGCGCGGTAGATGTCTATCTTATGTATATCGCCTCTGCTTCTGTTATTGGTTATGTGCAGCCTGGCAGGTGGTTGTCCGTTCGTACCCTCTACCACCAATGCGGGGCTTGTTTGCATACGCGTGCGCCCATTGCTGCATAGTCACACACGTGTCCCTATTGAGAATGCCTCAGTTCCCACGATGACTCATCGCACAGAAAGACGCTTGCGCGAACTGTCACGCTGCTGCCATTAGAGCGCGCACTGTCGCTATCGATTTCTCGTCAGATTTGATTGGTCCATATCGCCGACACTTTCTCATCGAGCGGATCGATGAATATATGCAGCCTTTTTGTGGGCGTGACTTGCTAATTGTTGATACAGCTCTCCGCGTAATCGATTGCCTTCCCTTACTCTCGTGTGCTGACTTTGAGAACAACGGTCGGGCAAGCTCACAGTTCGTGTTACTTACAAGTACCAGGCGCGGGTCATAACAGTGAGCGATCAGTACGGGCTTACCGGTTACACATCAACTAGCCAAGCACCATCAAGGAATCCCCCAATAGTGGCAC